CTGCCCCATATCAGAACTGTAGTTTGGTGTAAGATAATCCTCAGTGCTGAGTTAAAGAACATTCCAGGCAATGCTTTGACAAAGGAGAGAGAAAATTTCTGTCGTTGTAGCATATAGAAAAAGAACTGTGCCACAAGTCTTAGATGTTTAACCAAGTACCACTAAGTCAAAATTATGTCCAGATCTAAGGCTGGCTCCAATCTACTTAAGAGCAATTTATTAAAATGACAGCTACAATGCTACCTATCACAAAATGCGAAAAAAGAATCTGTTCCCTAATTATGGCCGTAGTCTGCCCTCATTCTGTGCAGGCAATCAAGGATGAGAAAAATGCCGTTTCGGTACGCTGAAAATTTCTGCAAAGCAAAGGCAGGTCTGTAAATGAACAGTGACAAGGTAACCCTTATGAAGCTTGTCCAGAGAAAACACGCCCAAGAGTGTAAGCCTCTTGGAACAAGAATGACATCCTTAATTCTGGGAGCTCCTGATTCTTTTGTGGTGCTTTTGCAGGACAGAGGGAATGTGAAGCATTCCTAATTGGGTATGTGGGAGCAGTACAGTGGGAATGAGCCCACGCCTCATCTGAGAGGGTGGGAAAAGGGTAACAGACTTAATCGGAGCGCTGCTGGCTACTCTTACTAAGTGGGATGAACTGTAGCTTCAGAGCCAGAGCCAGTTACCACTCACCTGGCAAACTCCCATGGAGCGATCTTTTGTGTCCCCCTGGGAGCCATGAGCCAAGTGCAAAGCAGGAAACCCGAGAACCTGCAGCTCTGAGGCCAGCACAACTATGCTGGAATAGCCACACTAGTGCCAACCATCTCAATAGTGCTTGTAGCACTGCAGCACACAAGTGCCTAGGGACACAAGGTTCATGTTCCTGTAGTGAGGAGGAGCTATTGTAATTTGCTGCTTGTAAAACATGGCTTACATGTATGATTTCAAGAATGAGGAAAAGATTTTCAGTGCACAATTAACTGTCTTCTTGACTAAAAGCAAAGATCATACTTACACATCCAAGTCCTCAAGTCTTTTACTTTGACACAAAAGTAAAGAAGGGAAACTAATTAACAGAATAAACATTGTTAAATCCAAGAAACCCTTCACTTTGCCTTGAAGGGTATCCCAGTGAGATCATTTCTCAGACTCAACTTTTCCTAGCAGTTTCTGGCATTACAAGCTAGTCCCCTTTCCAACCTATTTCACCTATTTCGATCGTTTTGTAATTGCTTTGCCATTCACACATTAACATTTAACGGCATATGTTTAGGGTACGTCTGCAGAGCATCATTCAGGGCGATGCACAGATTCTTGAGCTAACAACAAACGGACTAGCTCTGAAACCCGAAGCACTAGAACTACCGTACAACGTTTCATCACATTAATATCCCACTGCTAAGAGAAGCAAGTGCCTACCAAGGTGCTTGACAGGCTGCCATGCAAATCCATCTTCAGATATTGATCTAAGCCATGCTTTGGACATTATACCTCCTATGTCCAGTTCATACTTTTTCCTGCTGTTAGTATGCTTTCTACTCCTGTTTGTGCATTTTAATCAAAGGATCACAGGAAAAGTCAGTTTGGAAGGGGCCTCAGGAGGTCTCTAGTCCAACCTCCTGCTCAAAGCAGGATCAGCTAGGAGGTCAGATCAGGCTGTTCAGGGGTTTATCCAGTCTGGTCTTAAGAACCTCCCATGACGGAGAGAGGCTGCACAGCCTTCCTGGGCGGCCTGTTACACTGTTTTGACTGTCTTCACAGTCAGGGAAAAAGCTTTTCCTTATGTGCAGTCTGAACCTCTCATTTCAACTTATACCCATTGTTTCTCACCCTCCCACCACGCACTCCCACTGCGTCTGCACGATGACATCCCTGTAGGCACTGGCACCCTGCTGTCAGGTGCCCTGAAGCAGTCTCTTCACCAGGGTGGACAATCCCTGGCCCCTCAGCCTCTCCTCACAGGGCAGGTGCTCCAGCCCTTACTATTGCTGTAGCCCTCCGCTGAACTTGCTCCAGTTTATTGATGCATTTCTTATATCGAGGGGCCCAAAACTGGATGCTGTATTCTAGATGTGGTCTAAAAGCTCTGAGTAAAGGGGGATAATTGTTTCTCCTCAATATACCTGCCGTGTCCTGTTAATATAGCCCAAATTACTCTGACTAAATAAATATTAGATAAAAAGAGTGAACCTCCCTTAAAAACCAAGTGGCCAATGATTTTTAGCCTGTTTTTATTACTGATGAGAAAGATTATGTGATTTTTGGCATCTTTTTTCCATTACATTTTTGGAATAGAATCCATGAGGAAAGAGGATATTCTTTTTTGTTATGTTACTGTCTAGAGCAAATGGGATTTTTTAGTTCATTGCTGATTTCCTAAACTTAGGATTTGGGAGATCTGAAATTCAATACAGTTATTATTTTAAGAAATTCACTTGTCACTTCCTCAGCAGATTGTCATGTTCCTTTACTCTTGGAGGTGTTCAGCTGAGGCTCAACAGTGGCTACCTACGTACTTGCTTGGGGGAGAGGGAAATGCTGTCACCACCACAAGAATACGTTGGAGGGTAGGAGGCAAAGCAGGATCTTGAACCTGCTCGCATAATTTTTGGTTGTTTTGGTGTTTTCTCTTTTCATTTCTCTCCCCTTTCCCTCTCCATCTCCCGCAACCTCCAATCCTATCTGTGAAATAATTTTCTTGAAAAATTCATGATCAGCTTAACTGATTAATATGCATGTATCTCAGTGCCCTCTATGGGATATTTTTTCAATCTGATCTTCTACAAAGAACTTCAAGTTGGCTATTATATTCAATAAAGTGTAAATGCAGAATCCCAAGTGGCTAATTATCCATGGTTTTGTAACAATATCATTTCTGGCAATCGTATGATATTTTAAAATTCAGCTGAGGTAATATGAAATGCAACACTTCTAATAACTGCATGATAATGAAATATTGTGAAGATGTTTTCTGAGATCATTTGGTATTGTGAGATATGGCTTTTCCAGTACTGTCCTATTCATTTTTCCCTTATGAATTTAGAACTGTGAAGTTCGGCCTTAAAAGCTAAAATGGTTTTCCTGTTTTCTCAAGAAACAGTTTTGGGCAAAAGAATGGTTTCTTGAAACATCTTTTGAATTCAGGGAAAAGACTGCATTAGGCTGCAACTTGCAAATGCCAGATTTTATCCCTTGTCTTGATTTTTCAGAAGTGGTTAGTGTTCACAGTTTCAGATGGATTTGGTGGGAGATGTGGATATCTCTCAGAACAAAGCCTTTAATCTTCCCCCTTCCAAGGGGCTCAGTTCATCTGAGTAAATGTAGACATCTAATGCAATTCAAATTACCAAGTGTGCACCTGTGCCTGTAGCTGCCTCTACAAAGGGTATGAATCTCCTGGAGGTCCTATATCATATTTGCCAGACCTCCTTCTAGATATCTCACATATGTAGGACATCCCAAATAGCACTAAATGCCTGCATTAAAGCAATAGAGTTGAGCTTCAGCTAATATTAGTTTTTCAGACAAGAAGTGTGCTATAATCGTAAAGGTCTAATTCTGCCACCCTCCTATGGTAACCTCCAGTGGTAATCTGAGACCAAACACAGCCTCAGCAAGTTCACACATGACACAAAACTCAGAGAAGTGTATCAGCATACACCGGATGGCTGTGCTGCCAGTCAGAGGGACCTGGACAGGCTGGAGAAATGGGCAGAGAGGAACCTCATGGAGTACAACAAAAGGAAGTGCAGAATCTTACACCTAGGGAGGAATAACCTCATGCACCAGTACTGGCTGGGAGCTGACCTGCTGGAGTGCAGCTCTGCCTAGAAGAGTGAGGGTCCTATTGGACAAAAAGTTCAACACGAGCCAGTAATGAGTCCTTGTGGGAAAGAAGGCCAATGGTATCCTGGGTATTAAGAAGAGCGTTGCCAGCAGGTCAAGGGAGGTGATCCTCCCCCTCCGCTCAGCACTGGTGAGGCCACACCTGGAGTGCTGAGTTCAGTCCTGGGCTCCCCAGTACAAGAGAGACGTGGACCTACTGAAGCAAGTCCAGCAAAGGGCCTCAACTATGATGAAGGGACTGGAGCATCTCTCATACATGGAGAGACGGAGAGAGCTGGGATTGTTCAGCCTAGAGATGAGAAGTCTTAGGGAGATAAATATCCAATGGGAGCATGTAAAGAGGACAGGGCTAGACTCTCAGAAATGCCCAGTGGCAGGAAGAGAAGCAGTGGGCACAAACTGAAACTCAAACACAGGAAATTCCACTTGAACATAAGAAAACATTTTACTGTGAAAGTGGCTGAACACTGGAACAGCTTGCTCAGAGAAGCTATAGTCTCCATCCTTGCAGATATTGAAAACCCAGCTAGGCATGGTCCTGGGCAATCTGTGCTAGCTCACCCTGCCTGAGCAGGAGGTTGGACCAGATGATCTGCAGAGGTGCCCTCTAACTCTGACTATTCTGTGATTCTGTGAACTACGTACTATCTACAATTCAGCCAGTTAAAAAAAATCATCCTCCCTGCACCTCTTTCTAATTTTATTTTCTAGTTCATCAGTGTCCTGACTGGACAGTTACAATCACAGAGTTTGCTTTGATCTCAACTTTTACGTCAAGTTTCTGAACCTTATCTTCATGAAACAGTGTAAGTTAGTAGGGGGTGGTAGCAATCACTTGTTTACACAGCTCTAGTGGTTACCTGCAGTGTCTCTTTGGGACACAGGAACAGAAAAAATCTACTTTGTGGATGAATTTTACTGTACTCTGACAGCGCAATGGGTATATAAAACACAGTGCCTCAGAGGCCAGAATAACCTTTGTTTTTGTCCAAGACTCAACAGAAGACCAGGGTCCCTGGAAGCAACTTGGAGAGTCTCTTCAGCTTTAAATTGTGCAGTCATGCAGGGATTAATAAGCAGGTGTCAAGTTCTAGTTTATTTTCTTTTACTTGGAGTAAAATGGGAAAAATAAAAGCTGAAAAATGTGATTTACTTACTTATTGTGGACCCAGATTCAGGCCGGTTCAAGGAGCTGATGATAACAAAGCCAAAACCTTCATTCTCCTTGCGGTGGATCACAACATCATTGGTTTGTAAGCTGTGAGAAGTAAAGCCCTCTGGGGGTGTAGCATTACTACTAGAGACAGCGTGATTACTGTTAGCATAAGTAGCGTAGTCACTTCTTGGAGAACTGTGGTGCGTAGACACTGAGCCTGGGCTTCTGCCATTCTCTGGGCACGGTTCTCCTAAAACATAAATCATATCAGTGTTACATTCTGCTCAGCGGCTCTGTGACTTACAGTACGTTTGCTAATGCAACATGAATACAGTTGACTGTCTATCGCCCCGACTACTGTAAATATTAAGCTAGGAACCGTAACAGATGCAGAGAGACAGGAATCTACATGATTATGCAAAGCATTCAAGGGCAATCAAACAAAGCAAGCATGAATGCTCACTGCTAAGCTTTCTACAAGAGAGGAAAGGAAACTGTAAGAAACAGTGGCTATCTGGACTGCAAAAATGTTAGCAAGCACTATTCCCTTGTCTACTAGTTGAACTGTCATCGAGAGGAAAATGTGACATCTAATCCAATATAAATTTGTGTTTGGTTTAAAAGAATTTAAGCAGGCAGCTAAAATAGAGTAATTAGGATTAGCTGCATAATGATGTTCTTACAAGTTGATTAGCGTGCTCAAAAGATATACGGAACAGAGCAGTTATACAATGAAAAATAATCACAAATAGTTTTTTATGTGGGTGTAGTCGTAGAAGCAGTGCTCATTTAAAGACTGAGAAGATGCTCTTCTGTGAACGAGTTGAAAAGGGGAGAAGTGAAAATGGAGTCCATACTTCGGTATTGCTTTATAGTAACTGGAACATGGAACAAGTTCAATCTTGTGGGATCAAACAATTTTTTAATACAAGCATTGTGGTAATCAGAAACGGTAAAGTTACACCTTCAGATGGAAAAAAAGATTCTTATTCCTTGAAGAAGCTGCTTACACAAATCGTTACTTATTGGCAGTTTTAATACGCTACTTTCAGATAAATATAAATAATACATTTTCTGTTCACAGCGGTGAGAGCGGCTGAGTCATTCTACACAACATGTGAAGAGCTCACACATACACACATACAGCCTAGGAAGAGCGCTTACAAGTTAGACCTTCAGTGTGTATATATTAATAAAATAAACATCCTCCAAGGTCAGGCTGCTGTTTTCTCAGTCAGGTGTGTCCTTTAGCAGTCCTTGTGCAGCTACGAAATAAAGTGATTAGAGAGAATGAGAAGGAAGAAAAACAAACAATTATTATATTGCTATATTAGAATTGAAAATCTCCAAGAGTTATTGAACCAAATCTGCAACTAAACGCCATAGTCAGTGACAAGAGAGATCTCATTTTCTGGCTGTCATGTTTCAGAAAACTGAATACTGGTTTTGTCAGTATGGCTGCAACAGAAAGGAAGTTATCTTACCCTGCTGAATGACCAAGAGCTGACTTGGCCATAAATGAATGCCATTAGGTACAGGAAAAGAAAGATAAAGGAGGAAAAGTTTAAACGTCATTCGATTGTCAACTGTACGACAGATATGCATCAGAAAAATTACATTTTGCTTCTGCCTATGAAGAAATGGCATTTCAATTCCTGCTTTTCCGAATACCACACTTGCCTAATCAAATGTTTTCCAGAGCCTGAGAAGGGCGATTACCTGTTGGTGCAAACGGTGATTCCAGGCTAGGGCTGGGTAAGACATTCGTCAGGCGGGTAAGGAAAACCCCAGCGCCCTTGTTGTATACCTTCACGTTAGTGAGCAATTCACATTAAATCTGATATGTTAGTAAATCTGATATGTTTTGCATTGTTCAGTTACACCCCACATCAGTCATTTTCAAGTTTTTCCACAAAGCATACGTTGCATCACAGCAAACTAAAACCCTGTTCAGCTCCAGAAATGCTTAGACATCAATGAGTTACACACTCTACTCCCCAGTGCGGCACTCCTGAGGCCCAAGAGAAACTCCAGGTCTTTTACTAGCTGGCTTCATCCTCTGTGCCAGGAGACCAGCGCGCGCAATAGACCTTCTTATTTAACGGTTGGCAAGCAGCGAAGGCCGACATCCACTCCGCGCTAGCCCTCACCGTTATTAATTTTGCCTGCCGAGGGCAGCCTCTGCAGCCGGCTGGCCCAGGCAAGGTGCTAATCCCAAGCGCTCAGCGTATTACCTTGGTTATTGGCCGCTTTCCTAGCGCTGGGGGAGCTGCGAGGGGGCGTCGCGCCGGGTGGAAGGGGAGCTTTCTGGCTGGAGGACTCTGGAGTCAGTAACAGAAGAAAGTCAGTCCCGAGAGAGCGCGGCCGGCACAGAGCTGGCAGTGCCGCGGCGGGAGGGGGACTGCGGACGAGCAGGTGAGCGGGAGGGCGGCTTTTGGGCACGGGAGCGAGGGGGAAGGGGATCAGCGGACGACAGCGGGATCTAGGGCGTAGGCAGGAAAAAGACAGGACAGGCTGAAAGCGTGGTTTTGCTCATTTCTGATCCCTCAGTGAAGTGCACTGAGCACAAGTGTTTTATTGTAAAAGCCATTAAACAAAGTTCTGTCCTCCAATAAGCAAAGATTTTAATGCAACAGGAGCAGATCCTCAGATTAAAACTTTATTAGATGCTGCCACATATTTTTTCAAAGTTCCAGTCTTCAATAATTGACACTGAGCTAGTCTAAATGTTTAAGTTGCTTCAGATTCTTTGTATTGTTTTAAATTTATTCTCTGACTGTATCTGCTTGAAGGGAGGAACCTGCCCTGTTCCTGGTAGCCATTTATGCAGTACAGGAAGTTTTCAGCCAGCTTGTGTTGAAGTCAGTGGGAAAAACTCCACATGACATCAGTGAGACCAGAAATGGGCTTTGAACACATACAAGTGTGAAATGAGTCCTTGCCTCAAACAGTTAACAGTCTTTAAGCCTTTCTCTGATTGCTTATTCACACTGTCAGCACTAACTTATGTGAACGTTTTGTCCCAAAAGGGTACACAAGAGGAGACAGCACAGACCAAGACAGCATGGAACAAATCCAGAGCACTCACGATCACCACACTGGGGCTGCCAATGTTATTTCTACTTCTGAAGGAAACAACACTCAGCTGTAGTGATTTTGTCACAGAAATGAGGGACAAATACTTACAATTATTCATTCTTCAAATGACACAAATATTCACTTTAATTTTCATTTTCACTGCTTTTTAAATAAACAGCACCTGTCATTTGTGCTGAGAGCACTGATTTCTATTAGTCTTTCCACCTTTCCCAGTCTTCTTAACTCACCCGTTGGTAGCACTTTTCTCCTCACAGTAAGATTCACTTGGCCATTTCGGGCGGCGTTATGCATAAGATCAATCACATATCGGTGGGTTTTGCCGGCCACTGGAATCCCATCCACATACACCAGCTCATCGCCAGGATGGAGACGACCATCTCTGTCTGCCGAGCCCATTGCAATTACTGCTCCAATCAGGATCTGGATAGCAAAGAAACAAAAAGCCCACCATAGGCACACTGTGCGCACACAAATACAGAGCCTCCTGTTTTGTCCCATGGGATTTCCCCTTTCTGTTGCAATTAAGTTAGTGATTCAGTACCAGGTGAAAAGACCTTTGAGTGCTTGAAAGATGTGCTCCTGTTCTGTGGGTGTGATGCAAGATGTTTTCTTACCGTTGCTAAAAAGGGAAGATGTTTCTCACCTGGTAGGAGTGACACACCTGAGAATCCTGATCTAAGGATTATCTATACTTGAAATCTTTAAATCAGGACACTTAAGCAACAATGAATTTCTATAGATGACATTATGTAGAAAATCTGAATAAATAAATACAATTTAAGGCTCTTTTGACCTTAAATTAATGAATCTACATATTAGTTATCTAAGGTTCCTAGTTGCTGTGTGATGTAAGCAGCTGGACAAAACACACCTAAGGTGTGAAGTGGAAGGGATCCCACCCACAGAGTTCGCTTCAGGTTCCTCTAGGGGGAAAAAATATGCTATATCAAATGTTGCTGCTCATAATAAATAGCTGCTCAGGTAGCCATTGATCAGCAAAACGCAAAAAGAGGAAAAATGTCAGCTTACTCTGGGCAGATGTTGTTTTCCCAAATCGACATTTAAATGTAATTTGTAAGGAACATATAAACCAGTAAAAAATCTGTTCTAAACCTTTTAATGACTTTCTCCATTTTCTATGCACAAAAATTCTCATAATTTATTAGACAAAGAGATATCTATTTTCCCCGTGGACTGGTGATAGAACAGTCGAGATTGATTTAAACAAAACTAGCAATCTTTGAATGAATATTACAGTATTCACAAAGTGTGTTCCAAATTTTCTTTTCCCTTGTTCAATGTTAGAGTGAGCATAGAATGATGAATGTGACATACTGTGTGACAATCCACTTTAAATAACAAAAGATAAAAGCCATCAAGTACTGCTCTTCACGGCGAACTGCAAAGCCTAGATGTGGCAGTCATGCAGGTGATCTTGTTTTCTCAAGGTCTTAGCTGCCCAGTTGGAAGCATCCCAGCAGAGTATTTAAATGAAACTCCCATGTGGAGCCTTGAGAATTTTCCCCGGTCACCTTTGGCTCATTTTTGCTTCCAAAATGTAAGAAAGAGAAAACAAGGTACAGCCTTTTCCTTCTTCCTGCTGTTCTTAGATTCCTGTTAAGCAGTGCCAGGCTGAGTTTGCAGAGATATTCTTTTTGGTTCTCCATTCTGTTCTTCAAACAGTGAAAGAGTATGCCTCAAAGCTTTGAAAAACGCTTTGTGCAAAATCCAGCTATGAAATATACATTTAGGCTCTTTTACTGGGCAACAAAATGCTATCTATGTTTAGGTAGATCTCCACAGAGTATTCTCAGAACATTTGGATCTGTGAATCTCAAATGAGTAAGAATTTTTGCTAGTTATCTTGGAAGGAGATGGATGTTAACTCACTGTAGCTTGGAAGATTCGTAGGGAGGAACTTGCTCCTCGCTTTTATTATTTATATTTTCTTCATAATTGATTCTAGGCTGACAAAGTATTGAACAATTTGTTCATCTTTAACCTTTGGAGAAACACAAATGCAGCTCACAGCATGGCAGGTCATCAGTACTTCCTGCAAAGTCCAAAAACTCCTTTTAGTTTTGACCGATCTAAATAATCAAATCTGATCTTTCCCTTGGCTATATCCATAGCGGAACATGACTGTGTAACCGACCACAGTGACGGAACTGACTCCCGAACATAAGCAGTAGGTTCCTACTTTAAACTCTGTGGATATGTGCGTTTGCTAAGATGATGGCCGTTGTATCTGTTGTTGGGTATATTTCAGGGCAATATTTAATAGCAAGAATAACTTGGTTTTCCTTCTTTTTCATTTTCTGTATCTGAACTTGTTTCTTATCTACTGTCTGCTCCATAGCACGGCTAAGAAGTTTCAATAATAGCTATAAATTATACAAGCAAGACACAAACAGAAAAAAATTGTCAGGATTATATTACCTCTGTGATATAGTTTCATACTTGTGTGAGAATGCCTTGAATGTATGGGGAAAAGGATTACAACGTTTCTGCAGTAAAGACTATGAGGCAGAGAAAAAGGTGTTTCACCTGTCACTCAAGTTTAAATATGAAAAGTGTTGAGATTAGGAAGATTGTGACAGAGCATAATCTGAAATCGAAGCCTGGGTCTATTAACTCATACATGTTAATCTCTGTTTTGATATTGAATCTCTTTATGATTCTTGGTAATTATTTAACTTTGTGATTCAGTTTCTCTGGACAGAACACAGTTACTTCACAGGCACATAGTGAAATTAAGAAATAGACACAAAAGGTGTGATTCATCTCACCTAATTTTAAGAGACTATGATGTTTAAATTTAAGATAATCATCTTTATCTAACCACTGAGAAAACCAGGAACTCCTAAGGTGCAGTTTGCATTATCCTAACATTTTGCTCTTTGGACAGCTACACAATGTTTTAGAAATGTTTATTTCTTAGCACTGATCATTAGAGGAATCAAGATATATATCTTACAGGCATTTAATATTAAACTAGATGAATCCCAGCCAACCCGTTTTGAAGTGAAGAGACTCTTAGTCTAATTATGTACACGTTCCTGTGATTTTCCATTTGAACTGTATGAATGTATCCAGAATACTTCCCCCTTTTGGGACAGTGATTATCATCTTCAGTAAGGTGCCAGGTTATGCACTGGTTGTGACCTTTCAGTGACGGTTCTGAGTTAGATGTTGGGTGTGTGTCAGGAGCATGTCACTGTTATAATTCACTGTAACATCGCCAGACTATTTTAAACCCCTCACGTTACTGGCAGATGTGATAAATACATATGGTGGTATGATCTTACGAGATTTGAAAAGTGATTGGAACTAGCACCACCCATAATCTTGACACTCGAAATAGCGTGATAAATGTAACTTTTCCCTTTGGAAAGCATCTTTGTGCTTACAAATAAAGAGTGTACTCCACCTGCACTTATTCCTTCAAAGGAGCCAGCTAGACTGTATAACTAGAAGCAAACTATGCTACAGTCCCTCTACAGTGCCAGTATCATTGTTTTGAAAAACTTTATGCAGATCCTACTTCTTTGAGAAATTTATTGCCTTATGCTGAAGAATCCATACTCCTTTTTAGAAACAAAACCACAAAGACAAAAGGCAATGAAAGCTTCCTTTCGTTCTGTGTTACCTGACCGCACAGCAGGCGAGTTGAGACAAACATTTCAAAGTGTCTTAGTTCTTGTTTCATAGGATACACAGGGGCTTGGAGGACAGGCAGAAACTGCCTCTCCTTTTCTGGAGGTGAAAGGAATAGGAGGCTGCAGGTGGGCTGTCCATGGGGGAGCAGGGAAGCAGTGAAGGAGAGAAAAAAGAATTCAGAAGTCTTGCATTTTGAACACAAACTAGATGAAAACTTAAAAAAAAAAGAAAGTGGAGTTCATCTGTCTTCTTTCTTAATGAGGAATTTAGGCAGTGAAAACAAGTAAATGGGCAAAAGAGAGAGCTGAAAAGTGCACCACTGCAACGCCTACCTGAAGGAACCTTTTTGCAGTGTAGGACCCTCAGCCTCAATTTAGGTTCTCATTTATTCCCAGGGACTTTGAGACGTGGTTTGTAGGGAGACATAAAGCCTCTTACATGCATACGTGTGGGGGAAAAATGCTTTTGTGTTCTCAAGCCCTGAAACAGAGGCAGCAGCCTTGAAGCTAAGTGCAGGCTGAGAGCAATTGTTCAG